TGCCATGATAGGCAATGCCTTCGTAGATCTGCGTAGAGTAGTTGGCTTCGTTGAACGTCGCCAAGACTGCTAGCAATTAATCGAGATTGTGATTGCCACACATTTTTGCCATCGTAGACAGTCTAGCGGACTTAACCGCTCGCTGCCCTGATTGAAAAGAAAGTGATCCACATGGTTCTGGGTGAAGAAATGCGCTCATTTGTTATTTATTCTCCTGACGGTGATTATCGGATAAGATTATATTCTCGATCTCCGAGTCTATGCCGCTTAAGACTTCGTCGGCCGAGGTTTGAGAGGGTCTGCTCATTATCTCCGAGACAGACAGTGGAACTGGTGGACGCTGAAAACCCCCAATAGTCCAATCTAATAAGAGGGCACAAAGATTGACTTCTTGGCGAGCAGGGCGAATCGATTGATAATTAGGGGGTGAAGATTCAAGATGTTGCCGGGGGGAAGGCCGTATCTGAGTTGATGCATTAGTGGCATGAAAGTAGCACTGGACAGTGGACAGTCTCATCAGATAACAGCAAGATTGTCGGTTCAAGCCGCTGGATTGTCTTTTAATCAGCTAGATACTCCGACAGGTAATCGGTAGTGGCGGCTACTTGACGTGTACATGATGTGGAGACATACTCACCGATCAAGCCACACTGTGTCTTTGTAGGAAAAGCTCATTCATTGTTAACCTTTTTCACTCTGTATAATCGAGTCAGTACCTGTTTGATGCATGTGCGTGCAGATATCTTCTCGAGACGGTTGAACATGTTTACCATCTTCTTTTGTTATGAACGCCACCAAGTATGCAAGTGTCATATCATTCTTGGTCCCACAAGGCCCATAGCAGTATGTTAAGTACTTAAAAGATAACACTGCATATTTCTCAGACAGGAGATCATGTAAACGTCCGGAAGCATCTTATCTACGCAAAATCAAGCCATATTCGCCCTCCCCTTCCTCCCCATCATAATACCCCCCTCACTGACAGAGCTGGTATCTAAAACATTCATCCCCAACCTCTTTTCATACGACTGCTTGCTCTTCTCTGCCGAAGTCCGCAGCATAAACCACCTTAGATAGGGCAGCGGTCGCAATAGCTCATCGACACAGTCGATTAGCCAGCCTCCGAGACCGTGACCCTGGTATTCTGGGAGGATGTACAAATCGGTCAAATACGCAAAGGTGAGATTGTCTGTGGCGAGACGCGCGAATCCAATCTGATCCAAGTTATCTTTCGATTTCGTTTGTCCAGAGTTCGGCATGCCGTTAGCATCCGGGTCGGTAAGATTTGAATGAGTCCTGTATACTCCGAAGCAAAATGAATTGTCGACTATTTGCTGTAGGATTTCCTGGGGGTAGCTCTTGGTCCAGTACATGAAATCATAGTCGAATGCGGCATTGATGGCTGGTATCGAGAGGAGGCTTTTGTCCGTGGAGATGACAAATGCATTCCTCGTCCAGGTCTGAGGTTCGGCAGGCAATGACATGATTAAAGGGAAAGGCTCGACTTGGTTAGAGGGTTGAAGTTGTGTAGATGGGGTTTACGACGTTTGAGTTACTTGACTGTTATCGTGGTCTGGATAGCTGACAGCTGGTGGGCGATTGGGCTGTGCTCAGGAACAACACTCCAGACAGGCAAGGTACAAGGTATAAAAACAGCGTCAAAGAAGCTTGTCAATAATGATCACTTCTGATGCGCAAAGAAAGTCTTCGCATAATATTATCTGGTTTCAATACGGGGTGAGTCATAAGCTAAATCTTGGCATTCAATTGGCACATCAACTCGGTAACGGATAACACAATCCAAGACGGCAAGTGTGGGTATATCAGAGAGCGTATGGTCACGAGAAATTCTTGTTCTTAGGCTCTCTCTAAAGTACTAGTAGCCTTATGTACCAAGATGCTATCAGAAGTGTCAAGCACACCATCGCCAAACCCATCTTGACCAATTTTCTATATGAGATGAGAAAGCGTAGACTGTACGCAATTGAGAATGGGTTTGGATTAGTCGCATATAGATCCGTCAATTTTACTGCTAATTTATATGATCCTGGCATCGAGCGCTGAGAACAAGTCATCCCAATCGGTCACAAAACCAGAGCTCCCAAGGTCAATGAAGCCTTGTAACGTCCCGTCATTCTGACTAGTTCCCTGTTCGAGGCTACTAGGCGACATCATGCTCTGTGCATGGCACTCGGCACTGGCATACAGAGACTAGCTCTACTTGAACAAAAAATAGTCCCCGTTGGTTCAGGCTGGGGAATAACCTCTGGCGCAACCTGTATCTGGTACTTATGAAGGATATCGATAAGCGACCTCAAAAACCGACCGGCTACCGGGGATGTCTCCTCGGCTTGCTTTAACACAAGGCATGCATCCATGACCTCTTGTCGCTGGCCCTCGTTATCATCCTCCTTGTTGATGCACATGTCAATAACAAGGACAGCAGTCGCCAGGAAAAAAATCGAGAGGAGCGTTGCCAGTCGTACGTGCACAGAAGAAAGAAAGCCCGTGTCCTGCTGAAGGAACTTGCTCATGTCGATGATACTGCGGGCGGATTGAAGGCAGACATTCCTAGAATATTCATACCGTTGATCAAGAGACATCCGTGTCAGAAACGGCTGGTGCAATTTGAAACGACGGGAATGAAATGTGCTGGCGATGATGTACCGTTGAAAGGCCAATTGAGGATATTGGCGGTTGATCTCGTGGCTCTGCTCACAGCTCGTTTCGTCGTGCCGGAGAAACAGTGGAATGTCACGCAGAAAGTCAATGAATTCCCGGTCTAACGAGATGATAGTGTTGTAGTCTACCGTCCCCCAGTCCGAGGTTGAAGGCGGGAGTACATCAACTACACTCCGAGTGATCTCCGCAAGCCTAATTCGCAGCATGTAATAGGTCATTGCCGTTGGCTGTGACAGCGGGAGGCTGTACCCAGGGTCGGGATGTTCAAGGTCCACATCATCGATGTTGCGTGGGTGGTTCACGCGCATGTGTTCAGGGTGGATTAAGTAGGTTCCTTCCTGGGGACCACCTGATAGAGACAGAAGCCTAGATGATTCCATCAGTTGGGTTCCTCGACGCGTCAAGTCTCATCACGGTTTACAATGCTTCATGAAGATTTGCATCTAGTAATGATCCAAGATGATACCAACGAGGAGACAAGAAAATCATGTAGAATAGGTGGAAACCATCCTGTGAACCAGACCAGAACCCAGATTCACCAAATGTTTCCGGGAGTAGTACGGTATTCCAAGACCAGATTCATCAATTGTAAGAACAGAAAGACAAGAAAACCCACCAGTCCGTAGAAACCATATGCCACCATATACGTCTCTTGATCTCGAGCTGCACAGAGCTTTCTTTCTTTGCACAGGAGTCCGCATCGATTCGGTGAAGTGACAGATCTCTTGCCATTATAAGGGCACTACAGCTCAATGTACGGAATCTCAACGAAAACCCCTCGAGATTGAAAATAATGAATGATAATAAAATGGTCGCCTGGACATCTTCTACCGAACCTTGTAAATTGCGCCGGGAATTGTCAAGGGTATCCAGAGTCGCTTTTGTCCAACTAATGGCACAATTCGTGGCATTAGCTTGGTTGAGAAAGAGAGGATCGGCAGTGCTAGCCTCCAACGTGTATGCAGTACTGGCGAAGATGCTCAAAAGCAGTGCAATATGACCGGGCGCGACATTATGCCCGAGCGACAGCTTTTTATATCCGTCGTCCAACAGCAGTCGAACAGATGGTATATGTACCACGTGGTGTAGGAATGTTATGTATTCTGCGTAGCGCTCCAGCAAGCAGAGGGCTTCATTTTTGGGGGGCAACCAGATCTCTACTCAGGCCAACAACGACATTTTAGCCCGCTTACAGAGACTAGAAAGCATCGTCCTCCGGCACAACGATGCCGAGGAAAGGAGCGCATCGGAACTAGGACGTCGCTCGGCTCCTGCCCCTCCGTCTTATATTTCCGAGGGAGAGGGTGATTCAAGGTGGCTTGAAGGTGTTGGCACTCGTGAGGCCTCAGTTGTGAGTGATCACTGATCCTCTATGGCGTCCTCATAGTAACTAGGGCTTGGCTAGATCTCGGGCTTATCTAACGGGATATCGTTAAGCGTGGCCCCTATTAGGCAAGCACTGCCCGCTATCGCTTCTGGACACTCGCCTAATGGCGGTACAGCAATTGAAAGCGTTGTCATCGGTTGCTGTTGAGCCCTTGTAGTTGCGATAGACATGCCGTGTGCTCTTTCGCACGTAACTCCGCGCGTCATGCAATTAGAGCATGGCCGTTCTCGATTGCATTTGAGCTTCATAGTGCGACAAAGGTGGCAGGAAACGGGCACCTGTCGAGGCCGCCGTCGCTGCGTCGTCATTGCTCCGAAAGCACTTATTCTGGCAACTTCGGTAGTATAATATGCAGTGTACAGGCTGAACCATCAGGTCAGGGTAAGGCCAGGTGATCTTCTCTCCTAATCACCAAAATGGGTTTAGTCGCATCATGTGCCCAGTGATGAGCCTTGTAAAAGGTACAAGAAACCCTACAGTACCTGCACACATCAGTTCATAAAAATAAAGAAAATAGAAACTATATATATCTGAGACGATACAGGAAGAAAAAGAAAGAAAGAAAAGCAAGACAAACAAGAAAGCTGTTCACCGTACTAAAATTGTGCTGTATATCAAGATATATATTTCTTCAGTGCAAGATGAGCAAGACAACCGCGCAAACATATCTAGACGTCTTACAAATGACCTATATTGTTCTAGCCGCTTAGGTAGGAAGGAGCCTTTAAGAACAGCTAGGAGAAGATATGTCAAGGCAGCAAACGAGGAGTGTAGGCGAGCCCCCTGAAAGAAGAAATCGTGCAGAGTCCGACTCAACTTCTTCGCGTAATCGCGAGGGGTGACCATGCAAGACAGACAGGCAGGTGATAGCAAAAAAATACTGTGGTGCGCTACTAAAAGGGAGAAGGAATATGTTCGGGATAAAAAGAAAGGCCCGAACCGCGGTTTGAACGCGGGACCTCTCGCAGATTGGAACCGTATAGCCCAAAGCGAGAATCATACCACTAGACCATCCGGGCTGTCATTAAGTAATCGGTGTCCTTCTTCGCGTTATACCCCATTTGCTGATTTTTACCAGTCAACCCAACCCGGAAAGAAGTTAGCACACCAATAGTACTCTTGAACTTTGTCGATGGGGTGCTTTCCTACCGTTGAGATGATAGTTAGGTCTAAAGCGACTAGAAACATACTTAGAAGTACAGAGACTAGCACGAGGATAGTCGTCGTGCTGGATCTTCTTTTGTTGGGGATTGACGGAACGGATATGCTGGAAGCTTCTTTGGCGGGAACATTTGAGAGACATCTTGCCAGCCTCTGTCATACCCAAGTCTGCTCCGTTCCTAGTAGCAGATTTGGCACTCTGGGAAGTTATTGGATGTTGATCCTTTGTGGCCATGGTGGATTGCAATATTTTCCCTCAACTCTTAGCCAAGTAAACTGTCGGTTGCAACATTAGATAACTTGGCAAGAAACAATACGAGAGTGCATATGGGTCTTTTAAGGACTAGTGAACTAGTGATGGAGGAAATATTTCGACAAATTTAAAGGAGAAGAGCTGGTAGATAAATGGGTCCAGAGCCATACACACACAATTGACCGGACTCTGAAAACATGAGCAGGATAGTCGTATCACAAAGTCATAGGAATCTGCTGGTCGGGCTTTATTCCGCCCCGACTGGGCTGATTGAGATACGGCGGCTTGTCATATTAGAACATGGATCACCTTCCCTATTGAGAGCCATAATTTTGCGAAAGACCTATAGACTTTTGCAACCATAGCCTGCAAGTGGTATCTCAGCATAGCTGCTGTTTTCGGGAATTGTGAAGGCCTGCGGGCATTTAAAAATCCCGAGACGGCCCACCCATTGCCCTGTCTTCATGCCTCTGATCCCGCGACAGTCCGATCAAACTGCGCAGTATGCATTTCACGTTCACAAGATGTCTGTCGACCATGACTAACCCCACGGCGACGCGGAAGCCGACAGTCACAGAGCAGACGGTCGCCGCAAAGCCACAGGGGTACTCGCGTGCGTGATGTGTCACCGGCGCAAAGTGAAATGCGATCGCAAATTCCCTTGCGCAACCTGCGTTGCGGCCGGCACCGAATGCGTTCCAGCTGCGATCGTCCCGCGCCAGCACCACATCAGTTTCATGCCTTTACATCCCCTGCCCAAGGTGCACAGCATGCGGATGTTGGCAATGACGGCAGAGGCTTTGAAGCATTGGATGATGCGCATTCGGAATTCTTAAGGGAGCCCAAGGAGAAGACGGCTGTCAAGCCTGAAGCAGTGTAAGAGGCTAGATGACTCTCTCCGGAAAAATCCGTGAATCGCTAACCCTCTTGCAGGAATCTCTGACATGCCATAAGCCAAGTGGTACATCAAAGTACCTGTGTCAATGTAGGCTTCGCTAACATACGAGGGTAAGACATTAGAAACCGAGCACCATGACAACAAGAGCGACGGCGACAATGTCGATGGCGGTTTCCTGCACAGCAATGATCGTGTGGATGACGCCGTTGCCCAGAATTCATGGGACCACGCTGACCAAAGCGAAGACAATCATCATGGTAACGGCAATTTTCCCTTTGGCCTACCTCAGACAAACGTCGATCTCTCCACCTTGCATCCCGAATAGGCCCAAATCTTCAAGCTCTGGTAAGTTTACCTGGAAATGTTAATTCTCGCATATAACTACCCTACAAGCACGTATCATAGACGCTGCCGGTGATATAGCACATATCAAGCCTACATTACAAGCGCTTATGTTCAGCATCTATTGCGTCTCTATTTGTAAGTCTTGCCGAGGATGAATGCCATAATCTGTTTAGGACAAATGAAAAGGATCTTCACGCTGGCTATCAATTTGCATGTCAGCAGGCGCTGCTTAAATGCAGGGCTTGGCAATTTACTGATATTGACCGCTTGACAGCATTGTAACTCTACCTCGTAAGCCGTTGACGTCTATCTGCAATCAAAATCCCGTGACCATGGATACTCATCAGACGCTCTTAGGTTTCAGTCGGACCACAAACAGACGTGCAGTCTCTGTCCTCCTTGATTGCTGTTGCTATCCGTATAGCACAACGCATGGACCAGCATAACGAATCTACCTATGTTAGATATACCTCTCTAGAGGCTGAGTTGAGATACACCGAAGATTGTGGTGGCCATTGATCATTTTTGGCCATCGCATCTGCTCGATGATTGATTACAAGATCACGATGTTGACTCCTACCTGGGACTGCAGAGCTCCTCTAAGCATCAATCACTCTGAAATCCGGCTGGAGATGGAAACCCTACCAGCGAGTCACGAAAAGCCCACTAAGGAGCTCTTTGCCGTCGTGCGCAGCGAGCTGACTGACCATCTCCGCACAGTTCCTTTCACCTCAACTTCATCAATCTATCTTTTGAACACCATTTCTCGACCCAAGAATATTAGGCACAGCCCTATTCTGGACGGTAGTGAGCTGATGGTCTTGGAAAGGACCGCCGAGGACAAATATCTTGCGTTTTGCGACCCATCAAATCCGGTTCACTTCATGAAAATCCGGACGACACGCGGACACCTCGCGAGAGCCCACCTTCTGGAATACAATTCGAGGCAATCGAGCTCGTCGCCTCGGCCGACGGATCCGCTACGCGAGCTGCCCTCTCCTATGCACGGGGCATGCTCGAATACGATACGCAAGTGAGAGCATCACCACTTACCAAAGGCTACATTTGGCTTGTTGACTTTCACGTCCCGGCTCTCACCTAGATTTTCATCCTCAATGATCTGAAAATGCGGCCTGCTGAAGACCACATTGAAGAGGCTTGGAAGTCAATGAGTGATAATTATGAGGCCCGAGCCATGCATCGAAAATTAGACGAGCAAAGTATCCTTGTTGTCTTCGCTCGAGTGGTCTTCCAGGCCTTGGGGGGCGGTAAAGCATCACTCAGGCAGCAACACATGTCACTGCAGCCACCAAAGATAGTATCATACCTTAGACGCAGCATAATGCGGATGAACTCGACTTTTTCACGAAATAGAAATGGAGAACAGCACAGTGGCCCTGCGGTATCAGCCTTGAGGAATCTCCAACGCTTCCGGCAGTGGCGATTAGTGGTCATGGCACTGGAGACCAGTGCTACGCAGATCCGGGACTTGGCGGCTACTCTGAGATAGCAGGAGAGGCTATTATGGACTTTGACTTGGATCCGTTTTGGGCTACGATGGACTGGAGGTTATTGCATACACAAAGCTGGTGAGCGCTGAAGCATTCGGTGTTTGGTTGTTAACTTGTTGCATTGCTTTGAGCGGGTTCCTTCTCTGTTTCACGGAAGGCTGTCAATGGATCTTCGGGAACAAAGCTTATACAGAAGGGAAGAGAAAAAGTGGAGACCCTGTACATGAATCATATTCGATTACTCGGCCCCGTGAGTTACATCATAGCGCCACTCGAACGGGGAAAGACAAAGAGCGATCATCATGATAATTGAGATACAGGTCAATGGTTTGACCTAATGTTTTTCTCCTATGGCGGATGATCTATATGCATATTAGCTGTATTAGAGTGAGGAATGAATCGCATCGAATCTGGACCGTCCCTGGTAAGGGTTATCCGGTGTCTGGGGCTTGGCGGAAGTATTTCCCGATTGGGACGAACCCGACATTGCGTCACAGGCCCTGGAATGCGGATTTTCCAGGTTTTGATTGCAATGTTATGTCAACAATTGAGGAATTCTCCAAGGATTTCAAACACTGTCCCTTTCAGGTATACATCCTCTTGACGAAGATAATCACCAAGGCCTGCCTTGTAGCACAATGTTTAGTTGGTCAGTGGCTGTTCCTCAGTTCTCTCCCTCGTACTTAACCCCCACACAGGTATCAAAGATGCTTAATCCAGCGTCCCGTGTTGACGCAAAGTCTGACAACGGCGGTATGTCGAGGAACCCTCAAAATCCAATCCAAGAGCTAACCAGGCGCTGCGAAGTGCCTCTTCGGCGTGGGTGACGGTTTAGCGCAGCAAGGGGTGGAAAAGAGAGGCCTTGCCGGCCATGATGTAACACGTACTGCTCGCATGGCGCTCTATGGTGGAGGTAAGCATGGTCGCACTGTGGATATGCTTCTGTGCTAAACCTTTGGCAGCTGTCTTCGGTCCGGTTGCCACGAAATGGTTTCAGTTTCTGCAAAACCGGATCAATCTCCGCACGCCAGGGAAGACCCTGGTGGCTCGCGTTGCAGCGGATCAGTTGCTCTGCGCTCCTACGATGATCGGTGTCTTCCTCTCCAGCATGTCCCTGATGGAGGGAGGTGATCCGAGGGAGAAGCTAAACAATACGTACTGGCAAGCACTCCGTACAAACTGGATGATTTGGCCAGCCCTGCAGAGCGTGAACCTTTACCTTGTACCGCTGCAATATCGCGTACTGACGGTTAATGTATTCAATATTGGTATGTGCTTTCTGGTATGCGCAGTTGCGTATTCCGCGTTTACTAACTCTGTTAAAGGATGGAATTGCTTCTTGAGCTTTTTGAATAATTCTCAAGTTCAGGAAGTCCAGGAGATCCCCGTTGTTTGATTGCTGCTGAGATAATAAGTGGTGACAACCTAGTATGATGGCCAATTAGGGATAAGCCAACACACTGGGATTTAATGATAAATTTATCATTCTCGTTATTGAGTTTTCGTCGTCGTTGCAGTGGGGAGCGGAATATTCCCTCTTTGGTACATAGCCGCCTTCACCGTCGGGATTTCTCTTTCGGGATTCCCGGCATCCCGGAAAAGCATGCATCGTATAGAGAAGTTAGCTAAGCTTCTTTCGTTAACTATCTATAGTGTATCAGTAGCCAATAGACTAGACTAACAATCCTTTAACAAGAAACCAGGAAAGATGTACGGAATTATCTGAACATTTACTCGTTTCATGGTCATCAAAGTCGGAGCCACGATGTGCTTTGCCGCACTAGTGTCTTCTGATCAGGCAGGGTTGAGTATCGTAGGGTTGTGTCTGATGGTGAGCCAAATAGCAAGCCT